TATTTTGTTTGTTATTTTGTTGGTAAGTTCAAAAATTAGTAGACTTTTTGAGATAATTTTATTTGATTATTCCTCCAATTGATCTCGAAAATAAACAAAATTTAAACAAAATCTCTGAACAAATCTGAACAAGATCTCTTCACGATCTTGTCTTTAATATACGTTCAGACCCCTATAAGATACCCTAAAATTAAAGTATTTTTTGATTTGGTCATTAATTGAAGTAAAAGTTGTTTAAGCAATAGTTCCCTCTAAATAATATACACCTAGTTAAAAGGTTGATTTTCTAGGCTTAATAAATTATCTAAAGTCGGGTTCCAGCTGTATACTTTTTAGTTTCTGCCAACGATTACTTAACTATTCTCTATCGTCAATTACTTGTTGAATATAACAAAGGTTTTGGAATTTTTTTGAAAATCTAAAAGGATTTTTTAAAGAAATTCGTCCAATTGTTAGTCCTAATCAACCAATAAATACTTCAATTGCCTTTTCTTTAGTGCAAGTTGTTGATGTGGTTTGTTTAGATTTTATATTATAAATTAATACCTCTGGAAAAGTATCATGATAGTGGCTATGGACCAGAAAAATCAAGTTTTAGATCTCCAAAGATTTACTTCATTACCACTAAACATTAAATACAGCTAAAAACACCTAAAATTTATTTCCTTTAAATAAAAATAAATTTAATTAGGGGAGGGTTAACCTTCTAAAAGAGGATTTAATGTAAATTTTAGTAATTAATTACTCTTAAAAGGATGAACGTAACCAATTGTTAACAGTACTTGCTTGGGTCCATCTCCGCTGGAATGATTGGAGACTTGCTTGGGACCCAAAAAAGTTTGCGGGTATTAACAAATTAAATATTCCTGTTGGGGTAATTAAAAGTTACTAATTTATTTTTTAAATTTTAATTTTTAAGTCAATTTGGATTCCCGATATAATTCTTTACAATAATGCAGCTCAACAATATTTAAATGAAATGGTTTTTTTTAAATTAAATTTTTAAATTTTCGAATTTTATTTTAGACAACAGCGGGGGTTGTTTATGATGGAAATATTGTAATTAATTAATTTTTTAAAAAAAATTATAGAAATTATTTTTTAGAGTCTTTCAATGGCCGGTATCTTCAAAAGTAGTTGTGGTAATAAATTGGAATTTTTTTTAATTTTATCTAGATTTTTTAAAGTTTAAATAATATCAGAGATCTCACTTGTGGACACTCCATATAAATAAATTTCTCTCATTTAGTTTACTCCCCCCCCCTAATTTCACTCATAGTTTTGATACCCTCCTTTAAATTTTCAAGTGTGTACTTAAAAGTAAGATTCGGCTAAACTAGATAATTTAAAAAAAAAACAAAGTTTTAAATTTTTTAGCTTTGGATGTTCGTTTTTACCCTTTTGACTTTCAAAATTGCCTTATGAAATTTGCCAGCTGGGTAAGTTTTTGATTTTAACCTTATATAATTCTGGTTTTAAGGCTTATGATGGAACAAAGATTGATATTTGGTCTGATTCTGATAGTGATGATCAATCAAAATATATGGTGGCTAGTTTTTAAAAATAATAAATATCAGAAAAATTGGGAAATATTAGAAATTATTTAGTTTTTATGGAAAATAAAAATTATTTTAGATTTCTACTGAATGGACTTTGCGCCATGTGAGAGCTGTCAAAAATTCAGTTATTTATTCTTGCTGCTCTGAACCGTTAGATTTTTTAAAATAAAACACCATAACCCAGAGGTAGACCCCAACACCTTGATTTCATCTTAACATTTTTAAATTCGGTTGATTACTGGGTGTGGGAGCCCTATCTAATATACACACCTCGTAAATATATTTGTTTAATAGTTATCCATTTATCGATGTTCATCTACTTTTGGAAAGAAAACCTCTTTTCTTTATAATTTTTCTTTGTCTTCCATGTGTTATGATATCTATGTTAGTATTATTGGGGTTTTATATGTCTTCAGATTCTGGCGAAAAAGTAACCCTTGGAATTACTTCTTTACTTTCGACAACTGTATTTTTAATGTTAGTCTCTGAACATTTACCTCCAACAGCAGATGCTTTACCTTTAATTGGTATTAATTTAAATAAATTTTTTTGAAATTCACTCTTTTTGAGAGAGGTAAATGGAGGTAGAAAGAATGAAAGATTATTTTTTGGTTATTATTAGGGGGCATATGAGAATTATAAAGTAACTTCGAAATTAAGCCGATCTAAGATAACTATATTTTTAAAGTTTGCTTGATTAATGGGAGAAGCATCCTAAGTAGGGTTGCCGGTCCGGTCCGAAAGATCGAGGCGGGCATCGAATTTTGGCCCGAAAAAGATTCAGTCGGGCCGGCCCGATAAAAATGATGCCCAAAAAATGACTAGACCCGACTCGAAAACGGCAACCTTTATTGTTCAAATTAAATTTTCTGAGATTTGTTGAATGTTTTTAGAATATTTTTTATAAAAAAATTTTTAATTAAAAAGGTATTTATTATGGCGTAACCATTTTTATTGTTTCACTGCAAACTGCTTTCACTGTTCTCACAGTAATTAATTTTTAAAAAAAATTCAAAAAAATTTATTTTATTTTCTAGTTAAATATTCATCATTTAGGCAATAACGGCCCTCCAGTTCCCAAAATTTTACAAAAACTTTTATTTTGCCCATTTATTCAACGTTTTTTATTTTTAAATGGAGAAAAACAATATCATTCAATAAATGAACATGTTGATTATTTTTTTGAAAAACAAATAAATGAAGAAATTAAAGAAGAAATTATTTTGGATGAAGATAGGCGAAGAAGTGAACAGTCAAACAATAAAGGTGTTTTTAGATTTTAATTAAACATTAATTAAAACAAGAAAAACATTTCCTAAATAAAATTTTTCTTTTCCAACAATATAAAATGCTACATAAAACATTGAATGTTTTAACCAGAAAATATCTATTTAACTAATTAAAACATGTTTTTCTATGAACAAGTTTTTACTTACTAAAAACTTTTCCTACAACAAAACATTTGTTTATTAAAAATCTAAACATTTTTCCTACACCAAAACAAGTTTATTTTAATTGTTAAAACTTGTTTCCAAACAAAACATACTTTTCTCTCAAAAACAAAAACATTTAAACTCTAAACATGTTTTTCTCTTCCTTTTCTTAGCTTATCTTAACAAACAACAAATACCAAAACAACAAACTTCGGAGCCCCCAGTTTGGGAATTAGCTTCTCCTCAAATTGTTAACAATCAACAAAAACAAAATAATTTTACAATTAAAAAGCGTGTTTCTTTCTCAGAAAATTCTAAAAAAATAAATAATAATAAAGAAAGATTCTCATTAATTTCAATTTCTTCTAATAATTTAAAAGAAAATGAAGAAAGTAAAAATAATATTTCTTTTGAAGATGAATTTATTAAAGTAATTGGAAGGCTACAAGAAATTATGGAAAGGTAAATATAAAGGGGTGTTTTTTAAATTAATTTTATTTAGAAATGAACTTCGTTTAATTGAGAAAGACAGAAGAAACGCTGAAAAGTTGGGTAGGTTTTTATAAAATTATTTTGCGTTATTGGGTCTCTCAAAGGGTTTATTCTTATTAGAGTTGGGCGGGATCGGGATCCCGACGTAAAATCGGGATCGGGATTTTGGAATGATGATCCCGATCCCGGTCCCGACTGCGGGATCGGGATTGGACGAAATCGGGATCGGGATTCGGAATAATGATCCCGATCCCGATCCCGACTCGGGATCGGGATTGAAAAATCGGGATCGGGATTTAGTTAAAAAAATTTTTTAAATTTAAATTTTTTATTTACATTGCATATACCTCAATATAATTCCATAATTTTCATCTGCTGTGCTGAAATATTGATTTTAAGTCCCAGCGCGCATTTGTTCTTGGCGTATCAGGGATTAAGGAGGAGGGATAAAGTATTAACGATAAGGTGATTCTGATGGATTAAGAGGGATATCGTTGATTAATGAGATATTGGGATCTAGATGGACATCTAGGATATCCATTATATCCGTTCAAATCCATTCCGTCGATAGTTTTATAAATGAGTCTCTTCTTATTCACCGCCGGAGGCAAAAATTTTGAAAAATTTCGAAGATTCTCAAGCCAAAATCTTCATTTTTAGCGCCGCAGGCGAAAATTTTGAAAATTTTGGATGGCGTAGAAGCCAAATTGCTTTCTTTTCAGCTCATTAATATATATTTTCATTAATTTATAAAATCCCGATTTCATCGGGATCCGATTGCTAATCCCGATCCCGGTCCCGATCCCGGCTCGGGATCGGGATCGGCCAAAACCGGGATCGGGATTTGTCTTTCGGGTTCGGGATCAGAAAAATCGGGATCGGGATTCAAAAAACCGGGATAATCCCGCCCGATCCCGACCGGGATCCCGATCCCGCCCAACTCTAATTCTTATACGCCCGGTGACCCTCTAACTAAAAAAATTATTTAGAAATTAATTATTGTTAACAACAAATCACTCGGTTAAGCATCTCCCACCCATTGTTATGCTTTAAGTAATATCTAAAACTCCGAGGTCGAGGATCCTAGTGAAGCCTGTAGGGATCATCAATTTTCTTAAAGTTTAAACATAAATTTATTTACAGAATGGGAACAAGTAGCTCTTGTTTTGGACCGTCTTCTACTTATTGTATTTAGTGTATGTACATTAGCTCTACTTTTTGTTACAGTTTTTAATAGGGAATAATGAATCTTATTTTTTTGCCTTAAACATTTGAGAGTAGGGTTGTCGATGGAAAATCTTTGAATATCAGGGACCAAAAAATCCCCGATTCGATTCCAAACCAACAACCCTACTCAAACCATCTTGTAATAACATATTATTTATACCTTCAGTCAAGATATTATTAAATTTATACAACGGCTTTATACAAAATTTAAGAAAGAAAATAAAAGCCTATTAGAACCAAACAATTATAGTAATTATCACAAACATTATATTATTCTTTGTTGTTATTTCTATACTTCTGTGCCGCTTAAAAATTAAAAAAAATTATTCAAACTTTAAAAGATTTATTAAAATCACTTACAAAACAAGTTTTTGTTCTTCCAAACTAATAGCATCCGTTACAAGTCCCCCGCCTTTACGTTTCTTGCCTGGTTGGAAAAGTTCATCAAAGAATTCGTCAAACAACAAACGACGGCCATTCAGACGCTTTTTTGGATTTAAATCAAGTATTTTCACAATTAATGATGCTGGATTTTTGTCTGCAGGATATTTAAGCTTTTCAAATATCTGAAAATGTGGAGGGATTAGTTAATAAAATTATTTTCTTTTAAAGAGACTCACCAAAAATAGCTCTCGAAACGGGTAAACTGCCTGAGATACAACAGCAGGTATAAAATCGCATTCACGAACGTGCATATCTTTCAAGTCATCAATCGAAGGGGTGCCAAGTTTAGTGTAGATGAGCTGCAATTGCCAAAATGCGTCATTGCCTTGGAATAGCGCTTCCCCCAAATAAAGTTCAGCAAAAATGCAACCGCCCGACCAAATATCTAAATGACAAAATGAAGGGAAACATTTTATTCATCCACAATTTAAACACCCACCTGACATACAGTTGTAGCGTGCAGCTCCCAAAATAAATTCTGGAGGACGGTAGAAGCGTGTAACTGCATATGTTCCTTGGAATCGATCGGTATAAGGAGCCAAATAGATAGCTGAGCCAAAATCGGCAATTGTAAGTCGTCCAGTTGTTGAATTGACTAACAGGTTGGCTGGCTTAATATCCCGATGGATGATGTGCAACTGAAAATTAGATGGAAAATTTTGAAGATTTTTATCGTATTTACCTTCCTAAGATGATCCAATCCCGCGAATAACTGCCATATACAAAGCTTTATGTCGAGCACATTTTTATTTTTATGATATTCTGTTCTAAGCTGAGCTAATGTTGCAGGTACAAATTCGAAGACTAAACTATAAGCTTGCTGAAATTAGTCAAAGATTTATCAAAAAGTTAATTTTTATTTATCTAAAGTGCTGGGTATTTATTTGAGTCTTTAAATTGAGCTACAATCTCCCCCAAATTTGAGCTCGCTGCCCACAGAGTTACGAAAACAAATTCCAGTTCCATTTAAGAAGTATACCCAGCACTTTTCATTTCTTACATCAGACGAGTATTTGCGCCGTCGATAGTACATTAGTTTTACAATATTTGGATGAGGATGGCGAACAGACAAGCAACGAAGTATGTGTAGTTCCCGAAAGTCCCTAACTCTTGGAACAATTGTCTGTTTTAGAGCGACCAATTGAGAAGGCTGTTGTTCAGAACCGTCCTCGAAGATTTGAGAAACATTTGCCCGGTAAACAAAAGAAAAGTTGCCATCTCTTGTATGAAGTTTTTTGTCTTTGACACGTAGCTGAAACAAGAGAATTATTTTTGACGAAGATTTTGAAGGAAAACTAACCGTTACACCAACTCCCCTAGGATCCTTATAGTTGTTATGGATATTAGAAGCCTCGTCCATCAGAATAGTGAAAAGGCAACAAATAGTATGAATGAGATTAGCGAATTGCTGGTAATTAAAGGAAGGTTAGTCTTTTATAGTATAGTACTTTTATACAGAAGCGAAATACTGGTATTTTTAGCATTTTGCTTTTAATGACGTTTCGTTATAATGACATTTTTAATTTTCTCGGATTAACATTTTCCACTTTAATTTTCCGCGTTTCATTATTCGATATTTTGAATTATTTATTTATCAATTAAATCAAAATGTCGAATGTTGATTTGTCTGTTTTGGTCTGGCTAAAAAGGATTAGCTCTTTCCATTCTTGAATTTGTGTCACAAGATTTTTATGATCTTTTAATAAGTTTGTATTACTTTTTGTTATAATTTTAAGATTTTCAGATTGCTATAATTATCTATAATTTTGTTCTTGTTGCAGACAAGGTCAACTTCGGTTTCTTTATTGCTTCTTAAGAATGGTTTCTCCACCAGTACAAGAGGTTTCTTTAAAATTAAAGTATCTTTAACAATTCAAAAAAAGTACATAAATATGAAAGGGAAAACTGTTTGTCCTGCAAAAATGGAATCCAAAACTTAATAATTCTTTAAAATACAATTGTTTCACAATATTTGCGTTATCAGTTCGTTAGATTGCGGTTTTGCCCTGTTCTATTCAGTTTTATAAAATCAAGTTTTAGGATGTATCCGCTGTGAAAGAAGTTACTGGTGTTGGTGACCTGCAAGGTCTCGAGTTTGTTTGTGACCATGAAGGGTATCGTTACTACAAAAACACGGAGACTGGGAAGCAATGCTGTTTGGATTCTACTGGTCATTGGTTTTTGTTTGATGAAAATAACGGCACCTTTATACCTATGAATGATGCCAACAAAACAGCAGCTACGCCCAAACCAAAAGAGGATAAGGGAGACCCAAGGTTACGGAATGTTGAACGATTTGGCATTAAATTTGATCATAATGGTCGTCCTGTAAGTTTTGTTAATATTTATGAAGATACTGTCTAGAAGCTCTTTATCGATTCAGCATTCCTTGTATCTCTTCCATAGAAGATTGAGGACCCTTTAGTTATCTCGCCTTTGGCCATTTGGGATTTATTAAATTTTCGTGAAGAGCTTGCCACAAATAACTAAATTTTCTAAATAAATTCATTCTTTAGATTTTTCCGAAGAACGAGCGTGGATTGTTCATTCTGCCAAAAGATGAAAAAAGATTACCTTTCTTTCCTGTTGACGAAAAAGCAAGGCCAATATTCCCATACGACTATACAAAAGGCGAATCGGCCTTCCCAGTTGGTATGTAAAGCTTCGAAGTTTTTGGTAATTTTGAACGTGACAGACCCTTTTTTTTCCTCCCCAATTTTCAGCCTATATTTTTTAAAAATGGTCAGACTTTTTCCTTTCTTCCATCCAATTTGCCTTTCTAATTTTTGCCTGCAAACAAACAAAAAGGATTATAAAAAGGAGGAGTACTTGATTGCTGGCAAATATAGAAATGCAATTGGGATGGGAGAAAGGAAAAAGTCTGACCATTCTGTAAAAATATAGGGGGAAAACTTGGGGAGGAAAAAAGGGGGTCTGTCACGTTCAATATTACCAAGTTTTTTTGTTTAATTTAAATTTAGACGATACTGATGAACCAATTTTCCCTCGGAATGCACATAATAAACCGATTGTACCAAATGATAAAAATGGTATATTTTTTAATTTAAAAGATTAAAACAAAATTTTATAGGACAGCCTTTATTCCCAAAAGATGTTTCAGGAAATTTTATTTTCCCTCTTAATGAAAACAATTGCCCTATACCTGCACTTACTTTGGAAGGTTTTTACATTTATTTACTTATTTCATTTTATCATCTATTTATTTTAGGCTTACCTGTTGTTCCAAAAGACGCTTATGGAAATTTTGTGATTCCCCAAGATCGTGACGGAAATCCTTTAATTCATATTGCGTCTGATGGTGTAACTCCTGTTTCCGCAGCGGAGTGGAAACAATGGAAAAAATTTTATAGAGATCAGGCGCGTACTTTTTACAAACAACAACAATTACATATGGCCGTTCAAAATGTTCCTCGTTCTTCTGCTAATCATTCAATTACTAATTCGGTTTGCTTTTCTCGTTAAATAAACAGTTTTTGGTTCCATTAGTTTTTATTTACAAATTCTTGTTTTATTTTTAATTCTTGCCTCATCCTTTTTTGACTTTTTAATTGTGTGTAAGGGGTCTGCAACGCTAGTATTTTTCACAACTTTATTACAAATATATTTTTTCGAATTTTGTCTTTTATTGTCCTTTTTTGTTGTTGATTTTAATTAAATTTTTTTCCTTTTATTCAGTATTTTATTTTTTAGATGTTTCATCCTGTAAATTTGGAACAGCAAAGTGTATTTTTTGCTGCAGATATGCAAATGCTTCAAATGACTCGTAGAGTCCGACCTGAAGATGTTGACTTGCCTGCAGCAGAAGATATTCAACAGCCAATGGAATTTTCAGCAGATGTTGGAAAAAATGGAGAAGCTTCTATGGATCCAAAACAATTGAAAAGGAAAAAATTTATTGAAGCTCAATTAAAATCTATTAAAAAACCACTTTCACCTAAAATTGAAGTAAAGAAATCAAAGAAAGAAGTTAAAGCTGGAAAGGAACGAAAAAAGAATAAAACAAAAGAATCATCTCGCCGAAATAAAAAGGTTTTTTAATTGTTTATTTATGTGTTTTTCCCTGTTTTTATTACTATAGTTATGAGAATTTTAAAGGCTTTTGATTTTTATTGTTAACCTATTGGGAATTTTGATTTTCTTTGTATATTTTTTACTAAAATTTCTCTTAAAAATTAAGAAGAATAGATCCCGTAAAAGACGGCGTTCTCCTACACGTTCCCGCTCTACATCGCGTGACACATTGGAAATGGTTTCTCGAGGCAAGCGAAATGAAAAGAAACATTCCCGATCTTCTCGCTCGTCTAGTCAACGTTCGGAATCTTCTGTTACTTCACGTTCAACGCAAGCGTCCAGTTTTACATCCGAAAATAAAGAAGAGGAAGAAAGACTTAGAAAACGTTTACTTTCCAAGACTATTCCTGCAAATGAATCTGTTAAAGATATGAAACTAGAAGCGGAGGAATATGGGCCCAAACCACCGGTTATTTTTACATTTTTTTATTTTAAGATTTTATGTTTCCAAGTATTTTAGGCTGTGTTGAAAGGTGGATCTTCCGACATGGAATTATCAGATGAGGAAAGAAGGTATATTATTTATATTTTAATGTAAAAAGAAAAACATCTAATGTGAGTTTTGTAGTAGTTGACTTGAGTGAGGAGGTTGTACTTGATGCTGACATAAACTTATATTTCCAAAATGTTAAAATTATCTGTCCCCGGTCTTTTTTTCATCTTTTGGCCTTTCCTCTTAACCAGTGCTTCGAAGCTCGTACCAAAATTCGTACTCGTACCTCGTACTCGTACCTGGTACGAAGTACGAGTACGAGCAAAAAATTGGGGCAGGTACGAAGTACGAGTACGAGGCCAAAAAAAGTGAAAAGTACGAGGTACGAGGCCTAAGTACGAGCTCGTACTTCTCGTACTTGGTGTTAATAGGAAAATTAAAGAAATATATTAAATTCCTTTCATTCTCCATTATATGAGCGAGTGGCCGAGTGGTGAAGGCGTTTGGCTTCACCAAATTCTTTGATGATTTAATATTGTGTTCGATTCTTATTCACTGGACAATTAATTTTAATATTTTTCTTTTCATAAACTTGTCCAACTCTTTTTCGACTTGTCCAACTCTAGTATTTTTATCGTTAGGCTACTCCCCAAATGCCCACTCCCGAATTGTCCGCTCACTCCCCATTATCCACTCCCTAACTGTCCACTCCCCAAGTGTCCACTCCCCAAATCTCCGGGAGCCGGCGGCGCAGAAATATGCAAGAAATCTGGCTGCATGGCCTTAAAAATTTCTGAAAATTTTCGGCTGCGGAGCAAAAATTGAAGAAATCTGTCTTAAGAACATCCAAAATTCTCAAAATTTTTGCCTGCGGCGCAGAAAGGGAATTAAGATTAAGAGGGATATCAGGAGAAAAATTGTGTAAAAAATGCATAACGATCCATGGAAGAGAATGAAAAACGGATGAAAATATACCCGATCCATCTTTGAAACCGACCCATCTTTGAGGAAATATTGCTCATTGCACTTCAAAATGCTCAAAAATTTTGCCTGCGGCGCAGAAAATGAATTATATTGGAGGATTTATGGCTTCAAAGCCTTCCAAGATTCAAAAATTATCGCACAAACGCTTAAAATTTAAAACTAGATGTCCTGAACTCAAAAAAATCATAAAATTTTAGATTTTTTGATTTATTCGCAAGTACGAGTAAGTACGAGTACGAGGTACGAGGCCTAAAATAGGGGTGGTACGAGGTACGAGTACGAGTACGAGCAAAAAAATAAGGGTGGTACGAGTACGAGTACGAGGCCAAAAAAAGAGGTGGTACGAAGTACGAGTACGAGCAAATTTGAAATTTCGAAGCACTGCTCTTAACTACGATTAACATAAAATAATTTTTTGACTTTATTAAAGTTTCGAATTTTCCTTCTCAAATATATTTAAAATTAAGAGCTGAGGAAGCTGTACTCCAACAACCAAAATTGGAAATTGTTGAAGAAATGAGCAGTACAAGCATTGGAAAAAACATTCAAAACTGCAAACCAGTGATGGGACCATTCAATGTTAAAGAGGTTTTTTGTGAGGGAATGAAAAATAATTTTATTTTAGAGTAGTAGAGAGTAAATGAGAAGAAGGGTAAATACTAAAATTATAGAAAATTTGCCACAGAATTTGTTTTTGGTATAAAACAAAATTTATTGAATTAAATATTAAAATTTTAATTTTTGTAGGTGCTTGAATCTGGGCATATTGATTTGATTAAATCTTGCAAAGAGCAGGAACGAGAAAGGTTTTTTTAATTTTTGTTTTAAATAAGGGGATATAAAACGGACGAAACTTAACCACATCAAGTGTTTTCAAATTAAGGCTTTCTCCAAAACCGTCATATACCTAAATCGGTTGTAAACAATTCCGAACTCTCATTCCTTTTAGATATATCTATCAGGCCCGTAGCCAGGGGGGGTGAGGGGGGGAATTCCCCCCCCCCCCCCCCCCGAAATGGGAAAAAGGAAAAAATTTGGGGAAGGGCTGGGGCAAAAAAGTGAATTTTTTTGGCCTACGGCCTCTGAAATTTAAAAAATTTTCGCCTGCGGCGCTAAAAAAGGAAGAAATCTGGCTTTTTAAGGTCCAAAATCCAAAAAATTTTCGCCTGCGGCGCTGAAAATCAAAATTTTGGCGCCTGCGGCGCCGAAAAAGTGAATTTTTTTGGCCTACGACCTTCTAAAATTTAAAAAATTTTCGCCTGCGGCGCTGAAAATAAAAATTTTTGGCGCCTTCGGCGCCAAAAATTTGGCGCAAAAAAATTTCCCCCCCCCCCCCGAAAAAAAATCCTGGCTACGGGCCTGATATCTATACTAGTGTTAGGCAAATGTTCAGTACCAATATCAGTAGTACCGCTGTAGTACCGAACTGTGCCTAACACTAATATATACCACTGAAGCCAAACAATTTAAACTTTAATATGACGTTCCTTCACTTCACTATACTCGACAGCCAAATCTAATTTCCGAGGAGTGTCTTATTAAAAAAGATCTCAATTTATCAATTATTTAATGTAATTAATTAAATTTTTTAAAAGCTATGATCAACTAAAATTGAAAATTGCTGAATTACTTGTTGAAAAAAGCATTCACAAATTAAATTTGGTCAAACTTAGAGAGGTGTTTAATTTTTTTATTTTTAATAAAAAAATTATTTTTAAAGGCAGAAAAACGTATAGAAGGATGTGATGCTGACAAAGTGTCTGTATCCTCTGATGATGGTGTTTAAACGAAAAAGAAATGGAGAAAATTGAATGAAAAAAAATTAATTGTCTTTTTTGTTGCATTCCCTCTTTTCTATATTTTGCTTATAAATATTCTCTTCAAAAATTTTTTAAGTAGTTAATTAAATGGCTAATTAAGTAGGGCTATTTAAATAGCAAATAATACACTATATTTATAAGATAAATTTACTTTTAATATGATATGCAAAATTTGATTTATTTTTCTACTTCTCGAACCATTCTTACAAGATATGAGTAATGATGAGGGCCAGGGGCGGGCGCATTGCTTTTTTTGACGAAATTAATGCAAAGAATATACACAATCTGAGGACAAAATTGAAAGAAATCTGGCTTCTGGTCTTCCAAAATTCTCAAAAAAATTTTCTGCGCCTGCCCCTGATGGGGATATACTATAAAGGAATTAATTTGAGCTAGAAAATGAGAGAATTCTTATTGGGAAGTAGTACCTCACACTAGGGTTGTCGGTTCTTTGGAAAATTCTTGATAACTCGAAACAAAGAACATAACCGAAAATCCTCGGTTCTTCGGTTCAGTTCCGAACCAACAACCCTACCTCCCTTAAAAAAATCTCAAGTACTTGCTTTACCAAATTCAATTTAATATCAATTAATCACGATTTGAATCTTCTGTTTTTGATAGTCCTGTTCTGCACATAATTTCATTTCCTCCATGATTTTGCTGCATCTGCATCCATCCCTGTCCAGCTGCTGCGGCTGCTGCCGCCCCAGACCAATACCAATTTTGATAATGATTAACCATTCCTTGTGGGTATTGTTGACAAAATTGTTGTTGAGGAATATATGTTGATGGCACAGAAGAAGAAATATCAAAATTAGTAGAAGTAGCTGATGGGGAAGTTGAAGAAGAATATGTTGGTAAAGAGGAGGAAAGTAATTGTTGTTGTTGTTGATTATTTTGTTGTTGAAGAAGAAATGTTTGTTGCCAATTATTTGGGGGATAATGTTGTTGTAATTGTTGTTGTTCTTGTTGGTGGTGATAACCATTTCGATGAATATTGTTTAGACCTTCATCGGATATTTGTTCACAACTTAGATCCTATTGAAAAATGTAAAAATTAAAAAGATTTTGTAGTAGAGAATCCTTGCTATACATTTTTACCTAAATATTAATTTCTTTCCAGTTAACCAGATCCTTAGCCCAATATGTGATTTTTTCAACTATTTGGTATCTATGTAGAGCCTGTTTTTGATACATACTAAATTTTAGTCTAGCTAAATACTTTTTCAGCTTCGCTGATTTTTAACTGAAATTTTTAATGAAAATTCGATATAAAAATTTTTCGTAAATTTTTTAATTCTACATAATTACGAAGACCATAGGGAAGAAACTCCAAGAAAAATATGCATAAGCTTAATAATCCCAGAAACATAAAAGATTGTAACGGGACTACCCGATAAAGGTAAACTTTCAATCATTCCACTAATTAATGTGGTTTTAGGCTTTATCCAACTAGACTTTGAGGGTATTAACTGATAGGAAGTTGTAGACAGGAGCATTCAAAAATTTTTATTAAAAACTTTCTACCTGTCTTTCCAACATTCCACTACTTCCAACACCATTTTCTGGTTCACTTTTAACTGTCATAGCTCCAAATCTATGGATATTTTCACTACTAGAATCGCCTTCGTGAGGCGATGATTCTTGAGTTAATTCACCACACATTATTCCTTGCTCTTGTTTTTTTCTCTAAATAAAATTTTTAATTAAAAGAATTATTTATCGAATATTCGTAGTCTTTCAGTCACAGAATGAGATAACTGGGAGATTGGAATTTGTTAAAATTTGGGTTAGTGAATTTGGGTTAGTGAACCTTTGAAAAGGTGTTACTAAAAAACATTTAAAGTAATTTCAATATTAAACCCTCCTAATAGCTTCCAATTGTGTTGGGATTGGCTAAGTAATCAGGAAATATTTAATTAATATGAGAAAAGCAGAAATGAATTTAGAAATTATCCAAACAAAGTGAGGGATAGGTTCACGGGAAACAACCTTTGAAAAGGTCCATTGTCCCATTATTTTCTGATCTATTTTATTTTTTTGTTTCTCGTTTTTCTTTGAAAATCCAATAAATTTATTATATTTTTACTAATTTAATTACACCTTCATTCTTCTATTTTGAAACCAAATTTTAATTTGTTTGTCGCTAAGCCCAGTTTTTTCAACAAGTTGGGTTCTTTGAAGTTTAGAAACATATTTATTGGCTCGAAATTCTTCTTCCAAAGTTCTCTTCTTTAAAAAACAAAAAACCTCCCTTTAGAAATTTATTTTTAAATTTACTTGTTCTGGATTATATGTTTGCCTTCCACCAGCTTTTTTGTTGTTTGGGTCTTTAAAAAATTAAAAATATTTTTCATTAGTTTTAAATAAACAATAAAAGCCCTCTTAAATTATTCTTTGCCATTTTTAGTTTCTTATTAGAGATTAAACTTTGGAATAAATTGTTCAATTATTGGCACATCCTAGTTGGTCCAGTTATTTTCAATCTTTAAAGTAGAGCCTTTTCCCGTCCCAAATATTTTAAGTTCGAGTCTGTTCTGTTAGGAATTGATTTCTGGGAAAAAAATAAAATTCGTTTTCCAATTCCAAAAAATCGGGATTTATATATTTAAAATTCTTCGAGTTTTGTCCTCGTATTTTAGCAAAATAAATAAATAGAAAGGCAAAAGTATATGAAATAAAACAAATTTATTGGTAATTTAGGTAAGATAATTTTAGAATAAACGAGGGTTTCGTTTAACTGAACTTAAGTAACTAATAAATTATTTGTGATGCTTAAGACACTTAAAATGATTTTACGATATTCTTGAAGACGAGGAACTCACTTTTTGTTAACAAAATTAAAAAAACTTTTCTTTATTTTTGTTTATTATTCATTTTAATTTACCATAACCCTCCAACTTTTTATTTTTTCCCCCAACTAATTTCCAATTCTTTAATTAATTCTTTAAAAACACATTTGTTGTTGTGGTTATCGTAATCTTTTTCCTTTTCTTTTTTTATTCGGCCAAAACATGGCCAACAAATAAATTAACTTAAACAACAATCCCCCCTCCCCTTCTCTTTTGCTATTAGAGGTAAGAAAGATGCGTCGAAAAAGATGAATAATTTAAAGAAAAAAGAAAAGCATTTTCTTCCCAAGGGATTGTACAAAAATTGACTTTTTGTGGACCGATTTTTGTTTTGTGGCTTTTCTAGTCAAGGACATTGAGGGAATGAAAAAAATGAAAGATAAAAATTAATAATAATTAGGGCTGATTGAAGTTGAGTAGACAGAAAAAATCATGTCTAATACCCTGGAATATCTTTATATGTCTTTGAAAGGATTACTTTCTCGCTTTATAACAACTCACAGTACTTTATGGATATATCACCCCCCCTTATTTTGAGTCTCCTTCCTATGTAATATACCTATTATTAAAAGTCCAGCTTGTCAGATCTCACATACACTAAACTAGCCGTTAATAAATTATCTAATTTCCAATTAATTAATTTACCAAATCCACTTGTAGAAACTAAATGATGATTGTGTCCATTACTGCTAATAGCCGCTGCTGTATAGGAGTAATAATGACTTAATGCTGTATTTAATGATGCTGCATAATTACCATAATTATATTGAAGGGGGTGGGTATTGGCTAAAAATAAATGAAAATTTTGAATGAAAGAAGGAAAACTTAAAAATATTTTCCCTCAATTCCTTCCACCTTTCTAAATCTTTCCTAATCTGAAAATTGCAATCTACACTATGAGGATGCCTCAAGTCCTCAAGTTTCAATTACGAGTTCCACACTAGAATTTGGGACACGCCCGAGTATACGCGCGGCCATAACAGCGCAAATCCATAACTTGCTAAAAAATTTCTGGCACTTATCAACTTTGGTACCAATCTCTTTAGCTCAATGAGAGGAATCGTTCAATACTAAATTTAGGAAATCATGAAGCAAGTTATGGCTTTGCGCCGTTATGGCCGCGCGTCTATTTTGGGTTGTACCCCTAGATTTTGTATCACTATCGAAAATTTCACAAAATTATCATCTTATAGAAATTTGAACGGTAATTTTATTTGTTTTAAAATAAATTGAATTTTAAGCGCTACAAGGAATAATTTAGTTGAGGTGAAAATAAAAATGTTTTGAGAGCGTTTTTAAGATTTTTTGAATATTTTTCAAATAAAAATTCCAATAAATATCTCCCTAACCAAAAAGAAGAAATTGGCATTCCATCTATTTTTTATTCATCACCTCTCCGACCAAATGGGGGTTTTGGATTGGTTTTGACAGAAATTGTTTATAATTATTAGAGGCCAATTGGCGGCATAAATCAGCGTTGGAATTGCTTTTTTTATTTTCTTTTTTACCTTTTCCCAAATAAAAATAAAAAGAGGTAACCACGCACATCTTTCGTCCAAACGACCGGGCATTTGTTGTAAATTTTGTAAAGGATCTAATGTCTCTGAATTTGATGGAATTGTTAAATTATTGTTGTTAGTGTTGGGATTTTCTAAAAAGAAGAGACTGCCGGGAATTGGTGGTTGTGGGGGAGAACAGGAACTTGGCATTTTGAAATTTTTTTTGGAAAAAATTTTTGGCTTCTAAAATAAAATAATTAAAAAAAAATTATTTGTGTGTTTGTGAATGGCTGACAATGTACATATGTATTATTATACCCAAGAAAGAAAAGAAAAAGAAGAATATATTTTAGGGAAATTGCCGTCACCCTCCAATGCTTCCTTTCCCACCGTAAACCTTCTCTCTCCTTCATTCTCCTTTTATTCGTCCCTTTCATTTAGGGACGATTGGACGCGTAAAATTTTGGCGTGATCGGGAAAATCCGAAAAGATAAGTACCATTTTCTTGAAAATTCTGGAAAATACCCTTCTCAGAGTTTTTTTAAATTTCTCGATAAATTTCGGAATTTTTGTTGGGATATTTCCTTGATTCTGTCAAATAACTCGGGAATTATTAACCCCACGCCCAACCTTCTCAGCGCCCAAACGTCTAAGTCCCTCCCCTTCTCCCCAGCCTCGCCCATTTTCTGTTTTTTTTTCTAATAATTTTGTCCACTCACATTGGTTCCCTTATGTTTTAGGAAAAATGTGTGGAATTGTGTGGAGAGGAGGACAAAAAAACGAGAAAAAAATGAGTTAAAGAACGGAGAGGGGGGGGGGGTGATTCACCAAACAAAGAGCTACCGCTAAGGGAAGAAGGCGCGGTCCTTCATGCAGATCGTGGAAAAAAATAAAATAAAAAAATAGTTGGAAGACCACCCACAGATGAAAACGAGAAAAGTGAGTGAAAAGGATTTTTTTATTTCCTCTAAAAATCGTTAAAAAATATTCTCGACTCGCTTTCACCCAATTGTTGAAAATGATGTTCTTTTGATGTCTGAAATTTTGTGGCCTGCCGTTGGCCGATTTTATGCGAATTTTATTACTGGATGGAGAAGGGGGGCGAGGAGGGGGTAAATAAAAATAAAAAAAAAGTCAAAAATTGGTAGAAATTGGCATTAAAAAGAGAAAAAAGAAGAAAGAAAAAGGATTTTAATGAGGAAATGAGTGGAGAATAGGGGGGAAGGGAACGCGGAAGAATTTTATAAAATTATTTCAGAATAACCTTCTAAAATTGTGAAATTTTGTATAAATATCCCTTTAAATGTTAACCAATATTTCTATAAATTTCACATTTTTTGTGTTATTTTTTAATAAGTTAGAGCCAAATAGCTACAAAATATTGACAATTTTTTAAATAAATTCTGGTACTTTCACAAATAACTTTTTAATTAAAAACCAGAAATTCTGAAATTTTTAGAAGGGGTTAGATAAAGAGTTAAAAAATATTTTTACAGAATTTCATTATTTTGATAATCATATAAGTTCTCCCTACCAATCCTCTCCAAAAAACTTCCCTTTTATTTTTTTCATTAGCCAGCTGCTTAATTTAACCGCGATTCTTTTACAAATTACTAGAAAAGGGCAAACACAAAACTAACTTTTTATTTAGATATACCGTCCCCCCCCCCTCCCTTTTTTTCTTTCCTCAATTCCCCCCCCCCCCTTCCCCTTTATTTTTGCATTTTTCTTCTCCTCAGAAAAATTATGCCATGCTAATTTGAACGAGTCTTTCTGTTTGTGGTTGAGGTTACGCGCGGCAACGGAGAAAAAAAGGAAGGAGGAAAAGAAGAACTGAGAGGCAGCGGAGCCCTAATAAAATTTAATGGGCCGGGTGATTGGCGTGCCAGCTGTATATAATACATATATTCAAGGTGATGGGGAAAATAAGAAAATAAAGGTTTGGTGGAAAAAAAAGTATGTAGAGTTTGAAGGGAATAGAAAAATAAAAAATTATAAGAAAAAAAAAGGTTTGACTTTTTAAAGTCTAAAATTAATTTAAAATTCTAAACCGAATTTCCTAAATTTGAGTTTTTTTCTGAATTTTTAAAGTCGTTAAATTAAATTAACGTTAATGAGAAACTTACCGTAAATGCTCTGATATAAGCCCTGTGCTTATATATTTCAAAAGTGAGTGGGCGGGAATAGAAAATAGTTTGGAGGGAATAGAGATTAGAGACTGGGCTTATATTTTTCGATAGGCCTCCTCGGGTGGGCTTATATTAGAGCATTTACGGTAATAGGTATTTTTAAGTTTATTTAAATAAAGCTTGCT